ATATTAAACACATAAAATTAACATGTAAAGGCATTGAGCAAAAAGGGATTTGTATACAAACCAGGAGTAATCAATGACTCATAAATACCACTGAACATCTAAAAGAAAATGGATTAATTAAACAGTTAATTGGTGTCTGTTTTAGTTGTGATTTTTTTTATCTCCACATTATTAAATCTCAATATATTGTTTCAAGACTTATGTTTCATTGCATCTTATTATTAAAACTTTCTAACACATATTGTCATTTTTTATGGCATGGGTACGCTAGTATATAGTAATACACTGTACATCCTTTTTGAGTGTTAAGACACAATACAGCATGTGTTATAGGTGGGCCAACTAAACGAGTCAGGTGTAGTCCTATCATATTCTATACATATCTAATGGGGGATCTATTTGGGAAAGGTATGAATCCATCTCCATCTCCACCCCCACCTCAGTTATGTGTAAAATAGCCAGATAGACTAGGTTATCTAGTTTTGGAGGTCAACAGGTCTTGGAAAAAGAAAAATTTGAATTCAAAAACATAGAGAAGACAACAAAAACATTCCATTATCATTACCAAAAATGTATGGCATAATAAAAGAAACTATGGCAAGACATAAAGACCTACATCCTGAAAGGACATGGCATTTTATTTTATGTTCCTTCATACATGATGTAGATGATCGAGACTCTATGTGATTTCTTGGGAAAGATAGTAGAGTGATTTTCTCTTGCCTTCTCTTACATTGAATTCAGAGCTGTCTTTCTCTTCAACTGGCTACCACCCAAGGCCCAGTCAATCCTGTTATTTAACCAATAACTGGTGAAAAAAGAAATGGATTTATTTATGCTTTTTTAAAAGACCTAAATGTAAGAATGAACCTAGCATGAATGAGATGTGTGATATGAATGAAAAATGAAATGGTAGAATGTGAAGAGTATAAGGATAAAGGGGATAGATAAAGATTGACCTTTGACTTGAAGAAGTTGACTGTAATGTTCAGTGAAGTGATCTGTGCAAATTCCAGCATTAAGCTGAAATTTGAATGGCCCACTGATATCCACTTTCCTCACTAATAACTGTTATGCTATCTGCACATTCTTACATGATTACTAAATAATATGAATATTTTATTATTTCACCCTAAGCAAGGTAACAAAGCCACTAAGATGCAGGAGGTTACTGAGTGTGAAAGAATACAAGAAAAAGAAAACATTATTAAGGAGCAAGAAGAATAAAAGGACAGAAATTAAAAAAACAGTAGATAACATTGCATTTAAATTTTTGAAGATCAATGTTGACTGAAAAGCAAGAAACTGGAAGAGAGTTCCACAAGTGAGTAGTTTGAGAAAAGAAATTGTTAGCATAGAATTTATGGCTATATCTAGCCATTTCAACTGCAAAATGATGAGATAATGCTGCCAATCTAGTAATGCACTTAAATTCATAAAGTCTAGGTACCATAGAAGAAAGTTCATCAGAACAATTACCATGAAAGTATTGATTAAAAAAGTACAGGGAAGTTACATTATGTTGGTGGAAAAGTAACTGAAGCTGAAATGCCAGATCAAGACCAATAATATTACTGATTCTTCTTTGGATTTTATCAAGAATCTCTAAATATATAGCAGGAGCACTAAACCAAATGTGGCAGCAATATTCAAAGCATCAATGAATGGTAGACTTATAAATATATTTAAGATAGATTCAGTCAAGAAAAATTGTCTAGCATGACACAGTGAACCATCTTTCCCAGCAGCAGACCTAGCAACTGAGTCAATATAATCTTTCCATTTCAAAATGTCCGAGAAATACCTCAGATAATAGGAGTCATATTGGACCATTTACATTGTTTGGACTTTTGTCCTCATCTTTGTTGCCATATTTATCACAACATTTTGGCCATTGTACACTCCGGCCTTCTTCAGGACACATGGCACAGTGGATAAAGGTGTTAGTCAGATCCAGTGACAGGACCCAAAGTGTGAGTTCAATACCTGGTTAAGGCAGTGGAGAACTTGGAGAGGGGAATTAACAGGAGATAACTGATAACTGACATCCTTTATATATGGCATGTGGAACTAGAACAGTCTACCCCAGCAAGTGAAATAAAGGGTTCAATTTGATATTCCAACAACCTGAAGAAGGCCGGAGCATACAACAGCCAAAACATTGTGATGAATATGGCAACAAAGATGAGGACAATAGTCCGAACAATGTAAATATTGTACATAATACCTCATCTCAGAAATATAGACAAATATTGAACCATCTAAAGAAAATTGGCAAAGTGAACAAACTCAATAAATGGATCCCAAGGGAACCTATTAAAAGTCAAAGAGTTTGTCATTTAGAAGTGTATTCAATGCTGCATTTGCAAAATTCAAATGATCCATTTCTTGATCAAATAGTGACTTGTGATCAGAAAAATGATCCTTTATGACAATTATAGATGATCAGTTCAATGACTTGATCATGATGAAGCACCCAAACACTTTTTAAAACTGAAATTGCACCAAAAGACAACTATGGCGACTATCTAGTGGTCCACTATTAGCATTATCCATTACAGCTTTCTGGAATCTAACCAGAGCATCACTTCCAAAGTTTACTGCCAGCAACTGGATAAAATGCAGATTCAGTTAAACAAAATACAACCTGCACTGATTAATCAACAAGGTTCAATTCTGCTTCATGATAATGCTCAGCCATATATTGCCAGGATGGTACTGCAGAAGTTCACCAGCTTCAGATACAGGACTTTGCCACATCCACCATATTCTCCTAATTTCTTGCCCACTGATTATTCCATTTTTTAAGCACCTTTACAATTTTTTAAACCAAAAACCATTCCATTGCAAAGAAGATGCAGAAACCGCATTCAAAGATTCATTGGTGTCTAAACCTTTAGAGTTTTATCATAAAAGGATGAATAAACTTGTGAGTCAATGGCAGAAATGTATAGATGTCCAGGGTTCCTATTTTAACCAATTTAAACACTGTTTAAATATATTAATTCAGGAATAAATGCTTATTCTAAAATCAGACATTATCTTCCAAATGACCTAATAAAATATAAAACACAAGGTAATCTTATGTATTTATCATTCATCCATCTTTATCTCATTTGAGATAATGTGATAGTCCATTGTTATGGTAATAGGAGGCATTATGTGATGCTGATAAGGAAACATAACAAAATATCTCATCAGTAAGTAAGGCAGATACATTACTTTTCATTTCTCTTTTGTGTTAGCTTTCTTTGGATTATTTTACTTTTAATGATTTAAAAATCAGAATTTTTTCTTACATGTGACAATAGAGTTAACCAAATAGAAGACCTAGATTACTAATTCAAAAAATATAACCAATACAATTACAAAATTACTTAAATATGGTCATCATTTTTAGCAGTGAGTGTTGTTGGCTTTCTTTTGATATTTTTAGTTTTAATTATTTAAAAAGTAGAATTCTTTCTTACAATAGAATTAATTATAAAAATCAAAATCCTAGATTAATCATTCAGAAGATATAACCAATGCAACTGCAGATGATATAACCAATGCAATATAACCAATGATATAAAATATATATAAATGATAAAAGATATGATATGGTTTATTTAACCATAAATATATAAATGATATAAATATATATAAATAAATAAGGATATATAAAAATATATAAATATAATAAATATATAATATATATAAATAATAAATATATATAAACAAATATATATGAATAATATATAAATAAATATATAAATATATAATAAATATAATAATATATATAAATAAATAAAAATATATATAAATAAATAATAAGTATATATAAATAAATATATAAATAAATAAATATATAAATAAATAATATATAAATAAATAAATATATAAGATAAATATATATAAATATATAAATGATAAAGATATGATAAAGATATAACCAATGCAACTACAGATTTACTTAAATAAGGACGTCATTTTTTATGGCACAGATCATGTTAGGTTTCTTTTAATGGTTTCAAAATTGGAATTCTTTCTTACACATGACAATTGTATATCATATACAATTCTTTACATTTATTATCAGTATATTTATAACTATCATCAATTGTATAGAAAACCATCCTAGATTATCATCCATTATATATGTCTAATGCAAAATTATTTAAATATGGCCATGATTATTTTTATAGTACAGGTAAATTAGTTAACAAAAATAATGCATGACCTTTTTTTTCCTATATGCCAAGTAAATTAATAAGAGGCACAGTTTTCTCAGAGACATTTTTAGAAAATAATTTCTATGACTAGTTAAATATCATTTGGCTCTAGTTGTAAAGATTATTGTATTATCTAATTATAATCTTATATTGTATGTCTTCTATTGTTCTGTTTTCTCAAACATTTTAACTTTTACGACCTATTTATTTCTACTACGCATTCCATTCTTTACTTACTCAACAAGTTCATTTATCAGTCACTAAGAAGTATTTACCGTAGGCGCATTTAACTACTGTCAGCTAATTACAAAAGAAATCCAATTACAATATGCTTCCTTCTTTTTTTTTTTACTGTTAGTTCAACCAATACAAGGCTCAAGAGCCACTCAAGGCAGAGATTTACTGAGTAAGATTTTTAAAAGGGAGTGGTAAGGGTGAAGTAAGAAGTACATATTATAAGGACATGTAGGATAGACATCACTTGACTCTGAACTTGAAATGATCAAGATTGTAGTTGTCAGGGAAGCATCCTTGTGAGAGTTTGTTCTACAAAGTAACAGTTTTAGGGAAGAAACTGTCTGACTGGAACTTGCTCCTCATCAAAGGATGGAACTTGCTCCTCAACAAAGGATGGAACTTGCTCCTCATCAAAGGATGGAACTTGCTCCTCATCAAAGGATGGAACTTGCTCCTCATCAAAGGAACACAAAGGTCCTTATTAGAGTTTGCTTCAAGCATTGAAATTTACTTATTTTATCTTCATCTCAGCTATAAATTACTTTGGCTTATGGCCATATTACATTGAAACATTGGTTCCTGTATGATCATCAAAGTTAAGCAGCATCGAGCCTGGCCAGTACCAAGATGGGTGACTGTTTGGGAATACCAGATACTGTAAGCTTGGACGTGTGGGTGGTGTAATGGATAATGGCTCGGAATTGTTAATCAGAGAGCTGAGTTCTAATTCCTGTTGGGTTCATTATAGTCACTTAAGCACAAATATTCTTGAGAAAGGTATGAATCTATCCACTCTCCAAGTCATGAGTTAATTAGTAAGACTTGTATCACTAAACCATTATTATCTCAAAAAAAAAATCTTATAATCAAAAAATATTTTCTGGCTTTAAATAACATACAAAGGGTTGATAAGCCATAGAAAATGAATTAATCATAAATATAGAATATTTATTTATGTAGAGATAATCTTATTTAAGGCTCCTAATATTTAGTTATGTATGGGTAGTGTAATATTGATTGGCATGTAAAGTGGAATTGGCCAATCAAGTTCAACTTCTGGTTTCATCTGTTACATTCCCTTTCACAAAAATACTCTTGGGAAAGATATGAGTCTATCTCTTTTCCTCCTAAGTAGCAGGGATTTTCTAGCCTTAGAAAGTAACCAGTCTAAGAGTCGGAAAAGTCTGAATTTCAAATCATGGATAAGTCATGAGTACACCACTCCATTCTCTTTTGCAAGAATGCATGTCAGTTTACATATCGTAAAATAAAGGAATCTGTGGAGAGCTATGAGTGCCCATGTCCTGAAAGAACATGGCATTTAAAAAACATTTAGTTATGAGTAAATAATTTGTAGAAAAATGATGCAACAACAAAAGCATCTTAGATCAAGAACAAATGTGAAAGTCTATAATCAGTATTATAAAAATTTTATGTTTGTAGGTGTGTTAGCTATAGCAAAAATCGCGCATCATTCCGTTAGAGCAATAGCATTAAAATTCTCTAACTTGAGGAAGAATGTAATTTTCAGTCCAATTTGCAATAATGTGGAGACTTTGTACTCACCTCAATTATTTTTATTATATGATTTGATATTGAAAGCAGCATTTTTATTTTGGTTGTTATATTCACAACATTGTAACCTCAAACCTTCTCCAGGTGTCCATCTTCATACTCAGTTAATTTCTTGGAATTTAAAAACAAACACTTAATTCACTTTAGAGTACTGAACTGTTATGTAATATCAGTCCTTCTTTATGGCAATGAATGCTAGACAATCTCTTCACAGATAAAGAACAAAATGTGGTTCTACAGAAAGATGCTGAGAATACCATCAACCAAACATATGAGCAATGACAACGTTCTAGAGACAATGAAAAGAAAAAAAGGATGCATACTTAACATCAGGAAGAGATAGTTGAAATTTCTAGGGCACATGATGAGGAAAGATGGATTGGAAAACTTAATACTCACAGGACAGATTGAAGGTAAGAGAGACAGGGAAAGCAATGCATAAGCTACTTGACAAGCTTCAGTGAATGGATGGCAGAACAGGGTTTGGAGGAAATGGCAAAAAGACAAATTTTATTAAAAGCTACAAAGGACAGGAATCTGTGGAGAGCCATGATTGCCAACATCATAAAGGGACATGCTACAGAGAAGAAGACCATTTCTATTCTACTTTCCAAATCAAATTTTCAGCACTGTCAGTCCTAGTGATTGAACTCAAAACTTCCAGGTAATCTGATATGTATTAACTGGCATTTGAATACATTTGTTCATGTGTCTTTTGATGATGAGAAGAAATCTGTGGAGTCAAATAATAGATTTGGATTGAAATTCCCAGAAGGTTATCAAGGATGACAATAGATATCTGAATAAAGCCAATGAGCAGACCAAGATGAACAAACTGGTCTGAATGACAAAGAATATAATAATGATAATTCCTCATCTCAAAAATTCTGATTGAAATAATGGAAGAAGGCTGGAGAATACAAAGGCCAAAATGTTGTGAGTATAACAACCAAGATGGATATGCTGGTTCAAATAGCAAAGAATATAATAATGATAATTCCTCATCTCAAAAATTCTGATTGAAATAATGGAAGAAGGCTGGAAAATACAAAGGCCAAAATGTTGTGAGTATAACAACCAAGATGGATATGCTGGTTCAAATAGCAAAAGAATATAATAATGATAATTCCTCATCTCAAAAATTCTGATTGAAAATAATGGAAGAAGGCTGAGAATACAAAGGCCAAAAATGTTGTGGAAGTATAACAACCAAGATGGATATGCTGGTTCAAATAGCAAAGAATATAATAATGATAATTCCTCATCTCAAAAATTCTGATTGAAATAATGGAAGAAGGCTGGAGAATACAAAGGCCAAAATGTTGTGAGTATAACAACCAAGATGGATATGCTGGTTCAAATAGCAAAGAATATAATAATGATAATTCCTCATCTCAAAAATTCTGATTGAAATAATGGAAGAAGGCTGGAGAATACAAAGGCCAAAATAACAACCAAGATGGATATGCTGGTTCAAATAGCAAAGAATATAATAAGTACCACATCTCAAAAAATTTATCCTTTTCATTCATTACAAAAATTGAAAGAGGAAAAAAGATTAACGGCAACATGAAATAATAATAATTTTTTTTGTTAAAAATAGTTTTGATTCTATATTGTTATAAAGAAATAATTCTTATTTCACAATTACATAAGAAGGAGCATCTTCTTCTCTTTGCTTTTAATCAAGATTACAAAGCTGCCAAAAAGCAGCTCAATACAGTTTTTCCGTTCCATCCTAGGCCCCACTCTATTCCTTATCTACATAAATAACCTTCCTGACGCCGTAACTTCTCAAGTCGGCATCTACGCGGATGATACCACAATTTATTCCTGCCTCAAAAACAAATCTAGTCTCACTGACAAAACTCACCTTGCCGTGCATCTCGAAAAGGACCTCCAATCGATTGTGAACTGGGGCATGAATTGGCTGGTCAACTTCAACGCTTCAAAGACAAAACTGCTCTCTATTAATCACCACAGAGAGCCTTCCTTCCCTCCATTAGAATATCTGACGCTCAACTTCTCGAGAGCAACTCTCTCTGCGAGAGGTCTCACGTTGACTGCTGACCTGAGATGGAATAAATACATCGAAATAATTGCCTCGTCCACTGGCGAGGAAAGTTGGCTCCCTGAGCAGCACTTAGGAAGTTTTTCTCCCCTGAGTCGATCCTCCAGATATACAAATCCACAATTCGCCCTTGCATGGAGTATTGCTGCCATATGGTCTGGCGCCCCTTCTGTTTGCCTCGGGGTTCTTGATAGGCTCCAGAAGCGGATATGCAATATGGTTGGCCCTGCCCTGGCGTCTCATCTACAGTCACTTTCTCACAGATGCACCGTCGCCTCCCTCTGTCTGTTCTACAAATACTTTCATGGAAATTGCTCCGAGGAGCTGCATTCGCTGGTTCCCAGACTTCATGAGTTCAAGCGCCCTCTGAGGCTGGCATCCCGCTCTCACCCCTTCACTGTCGAAACTCCCAAATGTAGCCGTCTCTTCTACTCTAATAGCTTCATGTCTCGCTCCTCTCGCCTGTGGAACTCTCTTCCCTTCTCCTGTTTCCCTGTGAGTTATAATCTCCAGCTATTCAAGTGTAATGTCAATCGACATCTCCAGTTGCCTTAATCTATCTACTACCCTCATCCTTTCTTCTATCACTCCTATCTGATCTTCATATTTTCTGTAACCCCTTGCGTCCTAGTGGCTTCCCGCCTTGCTTGGGGTGAAATGCTTAAAAAAAAAAAAAAAATATGGAGATGAATTCATTACTGAAAGAATGGCACAGAAATGGTTTTCCTGTTTCAAGGAGGGGAAGTTCAAACTCATAGACTCTCAGCATTCTAGCTGACATGTTCATTTTGTTGAGAACCAATTGCAAGCACTGATTAAAGAAGAACCACGGCAGATCACTAGGGAATTGGCTCCAAAGATGTCAAGCTTTCATGTTACAGTCACTCGTCATCAATGGGTAAGATCCGGAAATACGGCACATGGATGCCACATGCCCTGACCAAGTGAAACAAACTTTAACTCTCCTCAATGCTGCCTTTTTACTTGCTCAAAAGCAGGCTACTTGTGGATACAAAGAAAGATTCCTTTAACGTATTATTACCTAGGATGAAAAATAGTGTCTTTACATGAATATGAAGCAGAGACAAGAATGGATAAGTCCTGACAAGCAGGCAACAACATGAAACAAGCCAGAACTGCATCTATGCAAGTGAATGATCTGTATGTGGTGAGACTGGTAAGGACTAATTTACTATGAAATACTTGAAAACAACTAAATAGTCAATGCTAAGATGTATGTTAAAGAAATGAACAAGCTCAAAGAGGTAATCAACTGAAAAGACCTGACTGGCGATACATTATGATTATTCAACATGATAATGCTTGTCCCCATGTTGCTAATATAACCAAACATGCAATTAAAGAGTTTGGTTGGGAAGTTCTGCAAAACCCACCACATTCTCCTGATTTAGTTCCTTCAGAATATCATCTTTTTTGGTCACTTTCTAACAACTTGAAGGATGTGGAGCTTAAAACATGGTTTGATGAATTTTTCAAGTCAAAACCGAATGTTTTCTATCACTGAGCTTTTGCACAGTTAGCGGATCATTGACAGGAAATTGTAAACAATGAAGGGAAATACATTGTTAAATGATTTATCAGAACTCTTAATAAATAAAAAGTATGAAAATAAATGAATGAATTTATGTAACAACCTAACATGTTTTCAATACTGGGTAATTTTCATCTTTCTCTATAAATTAAAATAGAGAAATAACTAAATGCAACCACTACTTCTACTCCAACAGTTTTTTCTCACACTTCCCACTTGTGGAACTCCCTTACATTTACTTGCTTCCCTGATAACTACAATCTTCAAAAATTTAAATGCAATGTCAATCACCATCTCCTGTCTTCTTGAATCCTGTTCATCTTTTTGTCCTTTCCTCAATTCTCCCTATTGTCAGTCTTCTCTTTTACTTTCATTACTTGTAACCCCCTTTGTATTCATGGCATTCCTGCCTTGCTTGTAGTGAAATGATTAGATAGAAAAATGGACTGAGCCATTTCACTCAA